CGCGATTGATCAGTCTCATTTTGGTAAGATACAAGTAAAGCAACGCCAAATGAATTTAAACTTCATCCTATTTCACAAACAGGTGGCTATTAGGAGTTAGTAGGCAAATAGATAACGCGATGGTGTTTGAAGCGAACGGTCCTGGGTTTGAGTCCCGGAGTGAACATCAACTTATTGATGCAGGTAAATCCAGTTGACAAGTCCCAAATAGAATGAGACGCGCATCCTGGATTCTACTGCTAGCCACTAATTATCTTTGCATAAAATCATTTGATACTGATAAGTAAACATTGGAAGCTTTACATCTTATGAGAAATTGATTTTGATTGGTTTAATCAACGTTTTTAATATTTTGATTCATAAGGCATAATCCTATGACATCTTTGTCAAAACATGACCATCATCCAAGCTCCAAATCTTCATCTTCAATCGTATAACCTAAAATTGTATTTAATCAATATTGTCTTTAAATATCTTACATCAATGTGATAAATTAATCTCTTCAACACATGCTGGGAATTCACCTAAATTCCCAATTATGTTATTAAATATTTGTTAACTATTATCCAACAAAAAAATATTTCCCCATATATACATATTGTGTAGTTCTTCCTTAATTAAATAACTATCCATCCGCATAAGATACGTATACAATGATTGTAATATTCAGTAGGAAAAATTTATAGGTATGTACTGCAATTAAATGTTTGTTTATATATAATCAACCTTAATTAATTAAATAAGATAATTTTTGGCAAGCTACTAGATGCATCCTAAACTATATTGATCTACTTAATTTTTACATGACCTAAAAACTTTGAAAATGACTAGAATGTATATGATAAATATTTATGTTTTAGGATTATTATTATTATTATTATTATTATTATTATTATTATTATTATTATTATTATTATTCAACAATCACGTAATAACAAGTCATATGTGTGTCTGATCATATTATATGCAATGACGTCAATATGTATTTTTGGAACTGAAACTGAAAGTTAGAAACAAGATATTATTAGACAAAGATACATGAATTTCCCAACAAAAGAATCAGTTTTTTGATTGAGGTGATTAATCAATTGATGTTAGAAACCTGGGAGTGTTGGACGGCCATCTCGTCCTAGTATGGGACTCTTCAACAGTGCAAATCCACGATTTCATATTCGGGACTCGAACCAAAGATCTAGCTTATATCGACTTGTTATTATTATCAGCTTTATTCAATATCATATTTTCGGTACAATACAGAATTCTCAGCGTAAAGTATTTCAACAAGTTTCCGTTTCTTTCTTCTTGGTCGGTCCTGGCGATAAATATTTAGTGATCGCCAGTTAGATGTTAGCAGTTCAGTAAATGAACATCTGAATAATGTGCATTGTTTTCGCTGTATATTGCCAGCAACCACATTGGCTCTTACTGAGTTTTTTGTAACTTTGATAACGAAAGGTTGTACACTTTTCAGAAACTCAGCAGAATACATCATGCGATTAATAAACATAATGATATATTAAAACAAACAAAAATAGATAACTTGTTGAAATATCTAGATGGTAGGAACAGGTAGCTCAGATGCTCAAGCAGGCCGCCCTTGTTGTGTAAGTTCAACTATTAAAATCACTACAATTTCCACAAATCTCCATTCTAATAATAAGCGTTCATTTGTATTGAAACTTGAAACAGTCATAATACGAATTAGTTTATAATTTATGATATTGTTTTTATCAACTATGTCAAAATCTTTAGACTAGACATTCTATGCTTCTTATTAAATGATATTTATTTATAATGAACACATTAAACAGATTTTTCTTATAAGGATTCTTTCCTTTCACTTGTCATGAAAGAAGACATATGATATTAGTCTTTAGATTCTGGTTTTTATAACTGTATACAGTTTGTATAGATAGCTTCACCACAAAAAAATTGGGAAATATCCTATAATGATTCATTGATCAGTATAGTTCTTCCTCCTATCTTTACTTTCATATATATATATATATATATATATATATATATATATATATATAATATTGAACAAATAAGGTAGGAATCTGTAAACATTGTTTAAATGTTATCAGAGAACACCCAACCAGTTATCAAGGAAATAAATTGTCTATCAAAATGTATCCAAAAAAATAGTATGGTTTTAAAGTGAATATGCCTTAAATACGTGAAAGATAAAGGGCAACAAAAAAAGAAGAGGATTATTAATCAGATAATAAGTCATTTACATATAAACGGGAAATCTGTGTAATTATTGTTATCTATAAATACAGCCTTAAACGTACAAAATAGTGAAAGTAATCTAAGAAAGTCAATAGAAAGTATAATAATCAATGATAAAAGTTTTATCACGTTTAATGGACTAGATGCATACAATGAAATATTTGGATTGTGTTTAATATTAGAATCCAAAGAGTGTGTTTCATCCTACTTAGGATTCCTTGGATAGATAAGTCTTTATCCTGCTGTTGTTGTTCACATTAGGACACGGGCCTAATATGTGTTTGTTTGAAATATGAATACTTAATGCATTAATCTACTGAATCTAGATAGCCGAAAATTTGTTCACCGTGGATGAAGTCATATGTTATGGTTTATATTTTACTCGTTGTTCTTACTAAAGACTCCAGATAGTTCGTATGAATAAAATACAAGCATTTGAAGCTATGGTGATTAGGTTCAAGTCTCGATGTGGACGTCACCAGGATTTAGAAAAATCCAACTCATAGGTCCCAAGTGAGACGAAACGAGAATCCTAGATTCCATCAATAGCTTCACTCTAAATTTATAGGAACTTACAAGTCATTAGCATTATGGAGTTAATTTACTCAAAAATCACATAGCCCTGTAGAGATTGGTTGGAATCTAATTCTTAATATAAACAAAGAGAATATCCAAATCCTAGCCGACAAAATATCTTATTGCTATTGTAACACATCAAAAGCTTTGCTAGAATAATTCAATGAATAGAGGGATTGAAATAATATTCTGATGTACAATAATGAATGTGTAGTGTGGCGTCGAGTCGCGGTTGATTATGATCACCACTACAGGAAGACTACGTGCCAGTTAACCGATAAGATTCCCCGTAGGCCAAATATCAGAAGGCAGTTGGTAGCTATAGTCGAGATGTGTTTGTTGGTGATCTCGTGGTGTCGAAAGAACACCGAGATCGTTCCAGGTTACAAGTATAGTTACTGAGCGTAACCGAATTCGTGCAAGGCCACAATCAGCGGGAAAAATGTACGTGTTTTGATACAGTTAAACAAACAAGTACGGTAAAACAATTGGTTATAACAATAATTGTTTCCAATACACCAATCGCGTTCTCTTGATAAAAGTAGGTCACTACAAATGTCTCGTCTATGTGATGGCAGTATAAATCTAGATTATCGATAATCTCATTGAGGGGTTCATTTTCTAGTTAGCTAAGAAGAAATCAAAGGAAGACTCAACTTATGATCATAAGACTAAACCTCCGAAATTCTAACAAAATAGAAAATAGAACCATTACTCAATTGATGATATTAATTGAGTACATAGATATATAATTAGGGACTTGAAACTAATATTTATAATCATATATCCAATCAAAGTATGCAAATTATAAACCACTTGTCAACAATCAAGTAAATGATCAAAGATTTAAAAAATAAACATTCTAAGCATAGTTGGACAGTGCTTAGCAATGAAAGTCGAGATGAGCATTTCGTCTTATTTTGAACAAGTCATTTGGATGCACTTGCGTCATAGTATAGATGTTCACATTGGGACTCGAACGCTCCACCTTTTATTTCATGTCTTAAGTGCGTTATCCACTTAACTACTGAGTCTGGTCACTATCAAAATGTCTTTGATACAGTGGCAATATCAAAGGAAGCTGAACAAGATACACATACGCCAAAGTAACCGTTTGATTGTATTCTACAATATCTATGGAAGGGTTTAGGCAACCAGTACAAAAATAGATTAAAAAGACTGAAGTCTATATTAAATATGATTTTTAGTTAAGATTAAAATAGTTACACCTTTAAAAATGTCCCAATATAAAGGAACGAGTGGTAGGAATATTTAAGCTTAATATAATTCACGTAGCTCAAACTTAACCATCGATAGCCTTATTGAATATGTGTAGGTAATAACTTATATAATTATGATGTTTATAAAATAATCATGGGATGAGATTAGCAGTATTGTTTTGAATGCTCACTAGGTATACCTTACTCCATCAATTTCGAATCCACTTAGTTGATGGACGCTGTAAATCAAGATTTCGTTTATATGATGTATTTTATACCATGTTTTTACTATTAATATACTTATGTTTCTCATCAAAATAAATTGAATTCGTGTATAATCGAGTGAAATCATTAGGAAAAACTAAACTTCAATGTGTAGCAATTACCCACTAAATGAACAAGAGAATAACGAAAAGTATTGAAAAAGAAACATTTCATGAAAAGTTAAAACTTTACAGATAACCTCTAGTTAATGACCTCATAATCATTGACATAGTAGGTTTAAAATAGAAGAGATTACCAAACAATGACACAAAAATAATGATACTTATTCATAAATCCAACAGATATATCTGCTGAATTAATCTCAGTTGTTATCTAATGTCCCAGTAGTTCATACTAATGGTTACTGTGATATGTTATTGTAAAAATGATTTTAGTTATAAAGCGAAAAAAAAAATTATGCACAGTGTATTCACAACTAATTTGCCTAAAACGTTTTAAATAATCAGCAAATTTGGCTAAACTGTAATATTTTTGTCTCAGTTCTACTATTCAGTTATTCAGTTATTAAATGATCAAATTAGGTATAAAAATATCAACATGAGGGGTTAATATAGAACGAGTCGAGTTATGTAAATATTCAGCTTGCAGCGAACCTTGATCGTTTGATAAAGGGATACTTTTTATCCATAAAATTATTGCTAGATTTTAGCCTAACATAATAATGTTTTCTTTCTTTCTTTGTAGTTCATCATGATGAGGCTGGGGCTAATGTTAAATCATCTTCACCTAAACAATGTGAAGATCTTTTAGCTGAAAATCTACCAAGAATTGATACAGCTCGTTTAGCAAATGATCCATTTTTAGGTACAGTAGCTGGTCGATTAGCTCAAGAAATACATGATGAATTTCTTGTTTGTAAAATATGCTTCGATAGTTATACAAATCCAAAATGTCTTGCGTGTTTGCATACATTCTGTGCAAAATGTATTGAAAAGCATATATCAGCTGAAGTTACTTATAATAAGTATACAGATTATCGCGATTTCACTTGCCCATTATGTCGAAAACGTACACAACTTCCATTAGGTGGTGTTAAACGATTACCAGATAATTTTCTAATTTCTGGTCTAACTGATTTAGTACTACGACAAAGAGCATCATCGAATGGTTCATCAACAGCTACAATTATTGGTAGCCCGACTACTTGTAGAATTAACAATAGAATAGAAAATAGTAGACAAGTATCAACCACTGTTAACGAAAGTATTGATTCATTACATCAGTTACCAAATTTGGAAAGGAAGCAATTACGTTATGGAGAATGTGAAATTTGTTCACAAGTAAGTCGAATTGATAGAGGACATTCAAGTGAACCATTGAATAAAACAAATTCATCAGAAATCAATAGCCTAACTAATACTAATGACAATTATAACGGTAGTGGTCAACAACGCGCTAGTTCAGCTTGTTTAAATATTTCACCAAAAGCAACATCGAAATGTTTAGATTGTAATAAACTTCTATGTGATGAATGTGTTCAACGACATAGAAATACTAAAGTTACTAAAGATCATGCGACATTTGAGTTACAGTCACATTGTGATATTGAATGTAAAGATCATCCAGGTGAAACTGTACGATTTTATTGTGAAGCTTGTTCAATGTGTATATGTGTTCTATGCACATTTAATGCACATCGTGAACATGAAGTAACAAGTTTTGGTGAAGCTGTTGCAAAATTACGACATGAAATAAGTAGAAATTTAGATGCTACATGTCAACGTATTGGAAAAGTTCAATCTCAGTTACATAACGTCCGAGATGCTGCTAATATTATACATAGAATTGAACAAAGAATTCATGATACTGCAGAACATTTTATGGAAGAAGTAAGTCAGTACACAATTTTAAATATCATCATTGTTTGGTAATACTATAATGCTTCATTTCTGAAAAAATATTTTTAAAGTATGGTCGAAATATCCCATAGTTCCCGTAATCACAAGCGAGAGAAAACGAGTCAACTGGAATACTACTCTATTTATTCCTGATTCCCGATTCAGATGAGTGCAAGGAAATGAATGAATAGTTAGATGAGTAACACGACCACAACGTACAAGCAATTAGAAAAGTACACTTATGTCCAAACCAGACATTAGGGTAGAAAAAAAGAAGTATAAACGACTACTTTTAAATTACAATAGCTTTGTAATAAAAAAAGGACATGGTTATGAATCATGAATCAAAAGAAAGCTCAGTGTTTATAGAATAACCTAGGGACGTTGAATTAAATGAATTAAATGATGTCCACAAAAATAGCTTCCTTTGTTCATCATGGCTTCTCCACTTCTCTGTTCACATCAGCTGTAACATAATCAAGTGATTTATAGTTTTCATTTTTGTGTCACCTCACTAGCTATTTTGTTGAGTTTTTTTGTCTGAATCCCCAATGAACTGAATTGAATTCGAAGGTGTGGTGGATCCCAGCAAAAGAGCTTATTCAAGATATATCGATACGCAAGGTTATTAATAATATACCAAAAGAGTTAACAGTAAAACCCTAGATGTCTGTCTATGAGTAAAACCAAAAGTTAACAAATTACAGTTAGAACACAAATAATATATTAAACAACATGATAATAACAGTTATTATGACATGAATGTTACTTGTAAGCCGCTCTCTGAGATAACAACCACAAATGAGTTCCCTTGGTTAATGAAGATTCCTCTGCACGTGTTGTACCAACGGCGTAATGAGAAAGACTGAATCCAATAGTATTATTTAATAATAATCCGGACCAAAATCCAACATAGTGTAGGAAGGCATAAAAGGATGTTATAACACTATTATAGTCTTCAATCAAAGAACGTGGACAATAAAGCAGAAGAACAGACGGTGGAGATAGCGTTTTTTTTAACCAAGGCGGTAGAATATTCGTATATGTATCCAAACAATTATCATCGTTTTTTAACAAGTGATACAAAAAAACTATAAATATTGAATAAAAATGTGGTTACATATAAAGTGTGACAAATTAGAGAAAAAATGCGGTTTTTATTTTGTCGTTACAATAATCACTGAATATACGTCCCCATAAAGGTCAAGTGGGTAGCCATAAGTCAATTCAAGTTAATTTAACGTAACGAATTAATTTTCTGATAACAATTAAAACAGAAAAAGTTTTTTTTTAAACTGGAAGACTTTAGCAAGCAGTTTAGTTTTCACAGGTTGAAATCATGAGTCAGTTGAAGCTAGACCACCATTGAAAACCTGGAAGCACCGGACGGCCGTTTCGTCCTGGTATGGGACTCCTCAGCAATGCGCATCCACGATCCCGCACCACGCGGGGCTCGAACCCAGGACCTACTGGCTTCGCGCGCGAGCACCTAACCACTAGACCACTGAGCCGGCATCCAACGGTGTTAATGTCTAACTTTTAGTTTTCTATAATTAATGTAAGATTTTAATGCCATTTAGTTTTTGTGTTACACTTCCTATATGATGAAACACGAGTTAATATACTTCATAAAAGTTTGTAGATAGAAAACTTTAACAAAATTGAATTAAATACAATTTTATTGATTTTGAATGAATCTTTGTTTACACTTAAGTCGATGTAAACTGAAGAAATGTGTCGATCCTAAGTGTCGAGTACATAACACGTTAATGAACAAAACTTGACTGGTATCATTCATGAATTAGGAGAAAAAAATCAAATAAACTAATTCCATTTTTCTACATTACCAAATATGTATTTTCAAGTTAAACTTATCTTTATATACAACAACTGAATGCCATCTCATATAAAGCTTCATTAAAAAGAATGATAGTTGAAAGAAATGGTCAAAATATCCACCTTTAAAATGTCAACTGTATCAACTGTATATTAATGATTCATTTCTTTGAAATTATTCTGTTCCATTTGTAGAATTTCAATGTAATTTGGTTGATTTCAAGTAAAATTTAGTGCATATTGTTACAATAAACTAGATTAGTTACATTTTTGTCGAAGGATTACGGCTAGAAATACATTTGCTTACTACTCTCTTTTTATCTTTACTGAAATACTAAAGACACAAATTTAACTAGAAAATTACTACAAGTATTTAATTTGGTGTAAGCTAATATCTACCATAATTATGTTCACAATTCCATAGAATCTTGTAAATAACATACCTAGATGATAAACTATTCTTTAATCACTCAGTACTGTATGCTTGAAGAACTTTATAAAAATTAACACAACATATGGAATATTATTGTCTGAATGTCTCAAATACTTCCATTGAATGAATTTACGAATAATTATAAATATAAAAGACTTAAAAACTGGTTTTCTGTTTTTTCAGTTGCCAGTGCTTATTTGTTTGAAAGGAGACTGTAGTTCTTCCTACATTCAACTTCCCTATGTTATGAGGGGACGAATATTGTAGAAGTTGGGACTGGTCTTTTCAAATTACTAATAATTATAATTTTGTCTTACAGCAACTCGGTAACTAGATTACTATGTACATGTATTCCATTTATCGGAAGCTTTTAGTTGATGCATAAGCTACGGTCACACAATTTATTAACCCTTATTTTGATCTTAGTCTCTTACTTACTGTCTCCGCTTTAGGCTTGTTTATGTATAGCTGTTATTTTTCATTTAGTCGTGTCTGTATACAAACCACGTCTATAAAAATATAGGTTTAGTGGAGGCTGGTTGCTGCTCTTAGGGCTCTTGGGCAAGACATAGAGAGAAGCTTGTAATTAGTGGACCAATAGAAACTTAGCTGTTGACTCAAATTTAATGGTTTTCTGACATATAATCAGCCGAATCAGAGACAGCAAGCTATGGAGTAAATACCAGACTCAAAGTTGACCAAATTAGGATTAGGATTCTGACTGATGGCTTGTCACGACCTAACATCCTAAACATTATATTTTCCATCCTACGGTTCCACACTGTTTAAGGGTCTCATACTAGAACGAAACGTTTATCCAGTGCTCAGATCTTCGACGGTACCCCTAATTAATATAAGTCCATAGACGAAACCAATTCAAACACGAATTTCGACCGAATTATGTTGATTTATATTTTCTGTTGATCCAAGTTTAGATGACTATTTCCATAATTCACTATCAACTTACGATGAATAATTAATTATTATTACCACAAATTGCACTTTTTTACAAAGTGAAGAGTTGAAACTTCTGATCTTTACCATACAATTCATCAAATCAATGTGTTTCTTACCCTTCAGTATAAAGCATTGATGTATTCTATATCATATTTAGCTGCCTGCACAAAAAAACGACCATTCTATTTGTTTGTTGACTACAATACAATCATCGACATACATTCACTATACTTCACTTGTATGCATGGACGGTAAAACTGTCTATTGAATGTCATATATGCACAGCATGTTTCTAACTTACAATAAACACTTTAAAGTATTGTTATTGTTTATTCGAATTAATTTTGATGGAAATTGTTTAACATAATTCATTCAGACCGAAAAGATTGAACTCTAGTTTGTTTATAAATACTTAGTTCTTAGTCATCCTTGTATATAATTAGTGTTAAGATTAAGCGGTAACATCAATAATGTCGCCAGTTACCTTTTTTCTTTGCATAATCTTGGTATCCTGTCAAATTAACTTATTCGATCAATGAAATTATATTCGATACCTAAGAAACTGATTGATTAACACATTAATTAAAAAAAGTTTAGATAGTAATATGATGAAGATAATATGATTTACTTATATATGAATGTTGATATAGATGTTTAGATTCTGACTAGTTATCTGAGAATTTCACTATTAAAGTCACTATTACTGAAATATTAGACATGTATATTATTTACACCAATATTGATTATTAAGTAACAATCAGTAATATATCTAGTTTTTAGCGCTAATCGATTATTGTTATTCAAGGATGCAATGAAGACTTGTTGTATACTTTGTTTATTATTATTATTATTATTTTTGGTACAATATAGAATTCTCAGCGTAAAGTATTTCAACAAGTTTCCGTTTCTTTCTTCTTGGTCGGTCCTGGCGATAAATATTTAGTGATCGCCAGTTAGATGTTAGCAGTTCAGTAAATGAACATCTGAATAATGTGCATTCTTTTCGCTGTATATTGCCAGCAACCACATTGGCTCTTATTGAGCTTTTTGTAACTTTGATAACGAAAGGTTGTACACTTTTCAGAAACTCAGCAGAATACATCATGCGATTAATAAACATAATGATATATTAAAACAAACAAAAATAGATAACTTGTTGAAATATCTAGATGGTAGGAACAGGTAGCTCAGATGCTCAAGCAGGCCGCCCTTTATATCAGTTATATTAAAAAAAAATACTCCGTGCAAGGACGGAGTTGGAAGTAATGAGTTAAGACTCATTGTATTGTGCCTCCCCACGGAAATCTTTAGTAAAAAGCGAAAGACAACATTGTACATTTAATTAACGGAATTCGACTAACATTAGGAACTAGACAAAGTGACTTTTATGATCTTCAACATCATTTTTTTGGAAACCAATAGTTATCTGAGTTTAAAATTGGCGAAAGACAATAGGTGTTAATAACTCAAAAGTTTAATGTAAATGCTTCATTTTATCAACTGTTATGTTGATGATGAACAAGTTTTAATATACAGCCATCATGTTTGCAATAATAACATTTTGAGTTCATATAACTTACTGAACAACATGATCACAGTTACTAAATAACTGAAATTTCCTGCTTGCGGTTCAGTCTTACAGAAATCAATTATGGATTAAAAATCTCAATGATAATGCTTCTTAATAGGGCACTAGATGACATTGTTCTGGGTCTTTGTAAAAGTCAGTTTTTTATAGGCTGTAAATATCCCATAGTATTGAGTA